AAATATGTTCGAATTAAACATATTCAAAAAAAGAAAAGATAATCTTCCTTAATATGTAACTATACTTGAATGTAAACAAAAAATGCTAAATATAATAATATTTACTTAATCCAAGTAAAAATTTGCTCAGAAATATTGGAGTAATTCTTTACTTGAATTTAACGCTATTTTCTTACAATGTACACAGAAAAAATCAGTTTTAACTGATAAAATCGGTTTTAACTTTTTTAGCAGATTTTAGACTTGCACCTAATTCAAGACTAAAAATCTTCTAAGAATATTAGAATGTTATAATATTTTTACTTATATATGAGAATATCTATCATTGATTTTAGTCCACTGTTTCTGCACTTATAATTTTTGAAATTTTGATTCAAGTTCTCTGAAAAATTGTCCATGTAGCTCTTAAATTCTCTTTTATTTAAAGAAGCAACATAAAGTTCATCATTATTTGCGTTTCGTGAAATATTGAAATTGAAATTACATTATTATCGCTAGAAGTGTCAAAATAATACACAAGTTAAGGGATAGATTACTTATTTTTAATCTGTCGGTTGTGAAAATAACGATAATTTTATTTATCACAGGCGACGATCGTTTTTTCCTAACGTTAGCGATCAATATACATCTATTTTTATACGTGATCCTTAATTCATCTTAGTTTTCACGCTCTCAATAATAACTGATGCGACATAATTGTATCTTGGTGTCTTGAATAGCAGCGTAATAAAATAGGAACGAGTTTATCTATAGATAACAACGTACCGAAATCACTCCGATACAACAAATTATCTGTTGGAGGAAGTATTGAAGACAATTAAGAGCCTGAGATTTCGTCGTGGTCGATGTAACAACGGTACAATAATATTTTCAGATCCGTCGCGGCAATACTTGGTTATTCCGTAAAACTTCCTTCATTATTCGATCAACTTTTGCGGTTTCCTTAATAATGCTGAAAAGTCTTTCTTCCTTGAAAAACTTTGCTTATAATTTCAAGCACACCTCGCGATAAGCTCAGTCGTGTTCACAACGACGTGGCTAATCATTATGTTGCGACGACTGGGAGTTTCGCAAATTCAAGGAACTGGGCAGCTACAACAAAATCCATGAATGCCAAATTCGCGTTGAGAGACTTGCGAAATTCCGTCCGAGGAAAAGAAAGTCCGAAGAGACATTCCTGAAGTGGAGCCATTGGATTTAAGATTGGAGAGAGAAATAACGAGTAAAACATTTATTATTTTGGAATCCAAAAATGTTACAATTAGTTCGATGATGCACTTATAGATGTTAGTCGTCGTTATCAAGAGATGGGAAATAACGTTATAATCAACTGAACAACAAGTATGAAAAACATTATTTGACTAAGCCGATCGCTAAAGATTAAACGAAACGATATTTGTTAGAGACATTGCGCGGGCGAAAGAAAAATAGGAATAAAGCGGAAATGTAATAAGGAGAAGAAAAAGAGCACGAACAACGGCGCAATATCCTGGACTCAAGACGTCAATCGAGATAATCGTATGCAAATCCGTCGGCTTGGAATTTAACAAGAACGAAAATATGCACATATTTGCGCGCACCTCACGAGAGACGCGGGATAAATATCAATAAATAAAACCGCGCAAAAATCGGTAAATAAAACCGCAGTGTTGGGAAACATTGAAGAGTGGTGGGACTGAAACCCGATTTTGATACTATATCGATACATTTATATCTGAAATTGATACTTTTGTATGAATTTGTTCTGTGATATATTCACGAACAACTTGAGATGCATTGAAACATGCGATTGTCGTATCAATATATATCAATTATATATTAAGTTTAATATCTGCTTAATTATAACTCACAACTTATCAGAAATAAAATTGATACAAAAATGATTATAGTCAAGGTTAATAACGATGAAAAACGATTATTAAGGATTAAATCACATTTGTTGTGACGGATCTTTTTGGCATTTTTACATTAATTTTTATCATAATATTTTCGTGAAGGCTAGAAGATCAGCGTACGATTGACATCGAGACCGTGTTGCAAAGCGTGTAACAGTAGACTGTTTTGTTGATGTTTCTATGACTACTTAATAATTGTATTAAATCGATACTATATGAAATGTTGACAAATTTATCTTTCTACCAATGATAACTACTAATGACTCATTTCGATGCCAGACTGATAACATAACACGATGACAACAGCTAACATAACACGATGCTTGGGAATTAATACATATTGATATTAATCAGTACGCGTCAGTCCTATCATTGCCGAGCGGCCAAAAATCCCTCTTATGCAGATGCGAAATTGTATCGTCACGAAAAACATATTCAGCGAATGTATTTTGCGAGGCCGGCGGCATTGTCGAAAAACCGGATTTTTGGCGCCAGCTGAAACATATTTCGCGAGAAAAACTTACTCTGCGAAGGTTACGCTTCTGTATTGCGTCTCTTTTTCGGCAAATTGATTCAATCGTCGAATCTTTGGCGACAGCTCTTTTTTTCGGCGAGCCATTCGGTGATTCCCGGTCGGTGTCGCGCGTCGCATTCCTCGAGCGTTGAAACGCAAACGGAAAAATCGACGAGAATTCGATTTACATTCTTTGAAAAAAAAAATTATGCTTATTTTTACCCGACTGTTGAGTTACCCACTCATTATAACGCGCTCACGATATCACTTTGCATAATGTCGTAATATCCGACACGGTGGGCGTGCAGCAGAAAGTGAGAGAGGGAGAGGGGGGAGGAAGGAGGGATAGAACGCGACACTTGTTCGATACATGGAAGGCACGGCTAATCGGACTATTTCTCAATACGAAATTTATTACGTAAGCATCCCGCCGGGAAAATCGTACTCCGCGCGCCGGTAAGGAGCGCGAGATTCCGCGAGGGAGGGGGAGTGTGTGTCGGTCTTTTCGTAGCGCGAAATCGCGCTGCGAACGGTATCGGGCACGGGCACTGTCGCGTAACCGCGAATGATTTCCCCACGCGAACGATTTCATCTTTTCACGTCGACTTGTTATTGTGACATCGAACGCTGGCTTCCGGTATCCGCCGCGCTTCCGCCTCGTAACGAATCGTCCGACGCTCGCGAGTAAGCGGCTGCGCTTTGACTCCGTTTCTCTCGCGAATTCAGCTTCGACGGGTGGAATCGCGAATTTAATCGGAATCCCCCGCGAGCGGGCGATTCCGGTCGCGCTTTTATTGTAGTTCCGTTTGGTGAAACGCGGGCCGATTCCGCGCGCCAAGTTCCCTCCGTAACAGCGTAAAGTCGCACGTGGAAATCGACCGGTAATTTCGATAATGACAACTTCGTACTGTGTTATCGCATATGCGGTCGTAAATTTTTTTTTTTTTCTTTACAAACGCGATGTATACGTTGCGCGTGCTCGCGGATTACTCGCGCAATGAGCACGAAGGTGAGCACGGCGCGATAAAATAATTTCGCGACGAATAATCCGCTCGTTGTCCAATCACGAGGTCTGTTTGCAAAGTGCACGATTATCTAGTCGGATAATTACCGAAGAAATTCTGTAACTATTGAAACGGCTGTTTGCCGCATTCGCGCGTCTAAAGGGAAGCATTTCGCGACGCCTTCTCTCTTTCCGCTTCTCCCACGCCACGTATGAAGCGCGCTTCATTCGCCCGTCATCTCAGTGTCGATAAACATGCAAACGAGTCGGGATAATTGTTTGGTAGAATTTGTGCGAACGTGTCTCAAATAGCATTTCACGTGAGCGCGCGATGTCCTTTTTAACAAATTCCCGCTTGATCTGCGCCGCACGTACCCACGGACGCACGTACTCGCCATTAGAGCGAAATCCGCTCTTTTATAAGAGTTTTCACAAAGCTAATTGCGAAATTCCGTCAATTATGCCTCCGCGCTCGCCGTTCGGCATCGACACGTTTTTGCCATTCGTCTGAGAAATCTCGACGGACAATTGCGACCGGCGACGCACACGCGCCGCGATGCATGGTTTTATCTCATAAAGAAACGAAGGGAAGAGAAAGAGAGAGAGAGAGAGAGAGAGAGAGAGCGAGAGAGGAGGGGGGAGAAGCTTAACAGAGAAGAGAAAGAGAAAAAGAACGCGGTGGGGAGCGGCGGCGTGGACATTTTTTGATCGGATATTCGCGCAATTACGATTTTCAACAAGAAACGCCGCCCGTCGCGACGATTTCGTAATTACTTCGTCGCGTTATCAAGAGAAACGATTAAACTCTTATAAAACTCTTTGGCTTTCACCGTGTCGCATCGCGAAATGATTATATCCTGAGTCGTGAAAAGTTCGCCGGCGGACGCAAAGCACGACGGGGCCCAGGTGTAATTAAACGCGAGTACATAGTCGATTAATTAACTTAATTAAATCGCACAGACGCTCAAAATTTCTCCCGCTGCAAGAGGGTCGCGTTCCGCAAGAACGACGAAAGTCTGCTTAGATAGCGCCGATAGGCGACTAGGAAGACGTTCGTTCGGGGGAGCAGTCTGAGCGAGCGAGGGGATGTCGGATGTGCGAAAGATTGATCGATCGCCGTAATAATTAGCGACGTAGGAGCGCGCGTAGCCTGAGATGAAATCTTTAATTCTGTATTAAGTCTTCGAGTGGGGAAGACGGAAATAAGTTCCCGCTTGTAGTATCAAAAGAGCACAATAAAAGATCTTTGAACACTTAATTTAGAATTAAATTAGATTTAAAGTAAGAACTGAAATTTCGACTCGGATGATAACACGCGAGTGAAAATTTGCGTCTCGCGTAAGTTCGCACGTAAAACAATATAAAACGACCAATTGTTGCCGCTAATTATTCTTATCGCTATCTCAGGGTCGCCACGCGAACCTGCTCGACGACGATGGAGTCCACCTGACGGGGAGACACATCCGCTTCACATCGGCATCGCGCATCGTTGTCGAAAGCATCGAGGACGTCGCACCGATTTCGCTCCCTTCCGGTGCGTCGTCGCCCCCATCTCCGTGTCGATTCGCCGTGAATGCCGCCAGCCATCATGTCCAGGTACAACGTCAACGAGGAGTACGACCTGGAGAATCGCAGGGAGGTCACGCTGACCGGTTTCAGCAGCAACGTGCTCGACGACGTGCTGCGGAGCAGCAACAACAACGAACCAGCGTTGAACGGCAATTCGGCCGGCGTAATCGTCGGCGCGCACGCCATCACCAAAGACGCGAAGGTCGTTAACCTCGAGGGTGAGTTTTATCGCCGGCGACGTTAATTAATCGTGTATCGTGCATTATGCGCCTTTCGATTGGCGCGCTATTGAATTTTGCATCCTCGCGCCGCACTCGGTGTGCAATCGTGTTTCTTCGCTCTCATACATCTATTGATATATATATATCATCTATTTTTATATTTACATATTTTTGTTTATGTATGAGAATATGAAACAGATATTCTTAAATTAATACTCTTTTTTTTTCGTATACCAACAACTGACCAGTATGGGACATTTTATAAGAAACTGAGCATTCGTACTTTAAATTTAAACAAAAACACGGGAAAATATTTATATTCAACCCAAAAACCTATTCGCCGTCTGAATTTGCAATATTTCATCCAGTCGCCATTAATTTCTTAATTTCATTTTTGTGAAATCCTGGAGATCTGTCGAAATCCTACCAATCATCATACATGCAATTAATCGTGGAATGACCGATACGTTACTGTGAATCCAATAATTTAATAATAATACTGCGAGATTTAACGTCCGATATTTGGATGTTGGCGTAATCAGAAGGAGGCGACAATTTTTAGTCAGTGGGAAAAATCCATTTTGAAAACGGGTCTTGATAGATAAAAATATATGATTTAGTAGCGAAAGAGCGAAGTTATTTTCACGGTGGTGCGCCGATTAGACATTAATTGAATTTTCCATCACACACACGATACTTCTGCACGCTGCCTCTCGAAATGCATCGCACGACCGTGATCGTACATTTTTCGCGTAACGGTTTGTTTTTCGAAAAAGCTAACTGCGAAAGCTCATTGACGATGCGATCATGCGAAATTCTGCCGGCGAACAATGCGCGTGAAAGTGGATGGGAAAATAATCGGTGTGTGTGTGTGTGTGTGAGCGCGGGTGCGCGCGCGTGTCATGTTAGTGTGATTCAACGCGCGACACCGTGTCGTGGGCGGCGGGGAACGGCGGAGACCCCGGCAAAAATTGGCAAAAATAATCGCTGCACCGTACACCGACCTTCACTTTCACGGTTGAACAGTCGTTTTTAGCGTTTTATAAATTCTCAATCGGAAAAATTGTTTCAAGGCACGTCGCCCGCTATCGCAGCCAGCTTGCTCGCGCATACGTGTTTATATATAATACGAGAGAACGCGCACATATTATACATATTATTCACGCGCGCTTCGGTGACGCGGCGCTTTTTGTCGGTCGCAATAATTCTCATTTTCCGATAAATACGACATTCCGCCGCGAGAAACGCACGCACGCATGCACGTTTTTGCGCAGGCACGTCCGGAAAATAATAATAACCGCTCGCACGCGCGAGGGCGATTTTTCTCGCGACGCGGAAATCGAGAGCGCAGCTGCGACAACAATCGTCCGCGCGAGGAAAAAAGTGGCGAGATCGAAATACACGCGGTTGATTGATTTATAACACAACGGGCAGGTTGACGGGCGAAGACGGTAAGGCGTTGCACCGTAAGAAAACATCGCGTTGTTTGAGGGATCCGCCGAAGCGTGCTACCGTTCGCGCGTCGGCGCTTTTGTACTTTCCCACTGTCGGTGAGTTGATTGATATATCGTGTGAGTGAGTGAGAAAAAGAGAAGAGAAACGACAAATATTTCGAGGCATAATAACCGGCTCGCAAAAAATATTGCCAATTAACATTCTCGTCCTGGGATGGCGCAACAATCAGCGTCGTTACGTCAGCTCTTTTCAGAGTAGCCCGATTAACACACACTGAAACGCGGCAGTCGCCTCGGCCGCGAGAGTAGTAACGAGTCGCTCTAAATAAACCATTATCTCCGGCTCGACATATTCTCTCAGAATGTCTACATCGATAGATCACTTTCGATCGCGCTATCGTCTGCTTTCATCGTCAACAAACACCTCGTCATCGCACGAACTGCATCGCATATCGTGGATCTAAAGTGAGGAAAATCTATGATGTTACTTTATTAATGAACGGGTGTGAAGTCGCGAAATGCTGAGCTGTGTACAATGAGAAAAAAACTTAAAAATTTATTTGTCAAATATAAGGTTGTTTATCTCAAAGAAATAAACGTTTATCTAAATAAAATTTCATTCCTAGCAAATAAACCAGTTAATAAGAAAACTTAAGTATAAAAATATACCTAAGATACATGTTTAAGATACGTGTTTATATGAACATTTTTACTTGAAATAAACCAAAGAATCGCCTCCTCGAGTATGGCTGAGTACTTAAAGAATATCCTGTATATTGTTATAGATTATATTCTCCTGATGACCCTTTTACGCAATTGCTAAGTCAATTGTTAAGCAATTTTTGACTTTAATATCATGTTGCGAAAAATAATTACAAATTTCATATGAAACAGCTCTTGCTTGGTTGAACCAGAGAAAGAAAAAATAACGAGCCTTTGAGAATTAAAATACGGGTATTTTAGTGCGTTTTAAACATTGACGTTATCAATATTAATACTATCGCCGGAGGATAAAGCTTGGACGTGTATTAATGCACGCACGAATAAAAATATTCTAGGACGGGTTAATGCGGAATTATATTATTTGACATACATAGGATTCATAGGATTCATAGGATATATAGGATTCGCTTGACGTGGAAAGTTGATTCTCTGCGTACGTGGCCTGGAGAATAATCCGGTGCATTAATACACGTCCAAGCATTATCCTCCTGCACAATTATATTAATATTGATAATATCAATATTTCTCTTCCGCGTGTAAGAAAGAAATTAGCAATCTCCAGGAGGGAAGAAAACTCGTGCTCTTTTTTTCTTTATCTTCGGCAAGAAGAATTGCAGGCCGACAGTGTGATTTGTAGCTTCGTGAATTATAGCCCGATTAGCATTAATACCGTGTAAAATCCGTGCGCGGCCGGAAGTTTCGCGGATACTTGAAACTTTAATTAGCGGACTTAGCGCGCCGAGCTAGTCGCCTTTCGCAGTTTCGATTATCGGATTATCGGCGACGGTAGACGCCGCGCGAAATCTGCGCGAAGAGATAATGAGATGCGACGGCGCGACGCCCGGGCTGGCTTTAGCGTTGAATATACGTCGGATGGATGCGCGCGTGTATCGGCGACTCGCCTGTTGCGAGCTAAGCGTTAATTAATTACCGCCCGACGGTGTAATGCGCCGCTACATTTGTGGACTATTCGCGGTTGATTAGATTTCATTACCTTCCCGTCGAGTGAGACAGCACTTTATTTTATTACACCACGCGCGCACGCACGCGGATGGCTTCGCCACGGTGGTGGTAGTGCACTAATGAACATTACGACGCGCGCTTCGCGCAAACTGCCGAGTGCGGTCGCATGATAAGAAGTTGTAAAAAGAAAGGAAAACAACGCGCGCGTGCGCGCATACACGCATACACAAACGCATACTTCGTTCCGCGCCGGAAGTATGGCATCCGCGAAAATCGACGTCTCGTCTCATCCCAACGTGCGTCCAGGTGAGAGATAATGCACGCGCATCCTTGAACTTCGCGTGATCGCCTCCAAGAGACGCGACGCGAATTTATGCGGGCTTGTGTTGCGTCTTCCCGATTGAGATCGCGTTAATTGCGTTCGCTCCCGGCTTCCGTGTGATTCGATTGTGATTAATAACGAAATAGTAGAGAAGGAGAGAAAGAGAAAGAGAGAGAGAGCGAAATGTTTATTTCAATCCTAGGGCATGCTTTCTAAAGACTAATAAGTATTTGCATAAGTTGGAAAGCAAAATAACGTACAATAGTGAACAGTGAATAAAGGAAAGAAAAAGAGGAGTAAATGAGATTGAGGTGAAAATAGAGCACCGAAGGTGAAAAGAAAAATGGGAAATTACTTAAATTTCTTGAAATTACAGTTAAATTACAATTAATTAATTGCTTTCGCTCCAACATCCGCATTATTCTACCGTGATTAATAACGGGATGGTGTTAAAAGCGAAAGGAAGAGAGAGAGAGAGAGAGAGAGAGAGAAATGCGTTATTTATTAAACTCTTTGAGTTGAGAAGGATCCTCTAAAGCGCATATAGATCCCATATTTATTAAACTCTTTGAACTGAGAAGGATCCTCTAAAGCGCATATAGATCCCCTAAAGGCAGTACAGAGAAGTAATACAGTTGATGGCTATAGCAGAAAAGGCAGAAATTATATCAGTGTATAATCATATAATTATATTAGTGTATAATATCAGTGAAAGGATAGCAAGACACGCCAGTGAGACCGGCAGATTCGAGATGCGCATATAAGTGTCAGACGAGAACACTCACTAAGGAACCACTCGGAAGAAGGTATTCATAGAAGCGCCTTCTGAAGGAAGCGAGGCTAAAGGAACGCTGAATGTCAACAAGCAGTTTATTCCATAAGACAGCCGCTCTCGTTCCAAAAGCACGCTTACATAATTCTGTGCGACATTGAGGAATATTCATCGGATCGCATAAGTTCACTAGACGCAGCTCTGGTACATGTACCGGAGATGTCCGATCGAAATTTAAACTCCTGGTATAGTAAACTGACGCGCTACGTATTTATTAAGCTGTCAAGGAAGCATCCGACTAAGTAGTCTCCTCAAATCGACTTTTAGCCATACGGATCTTTCATAATACATAATGCAATGTACTCGTCTTTGCGAACATAAAGAGCAAATCTAAGGCAGACGTTAATTACCTTACAGAAGCAAGTCGTGATTTCAGATGACATATCAATGAATGCTGTGCAACAGTAATGAATGGAGACATATAAGAGAAGTAATTAGCTTGAATTTAAATGAGTCTATTAGTAGACTCTTGCATATTTTAAGCATGATGCAATCATAGAAATCTTCTTTGTAAGGTGTGTCTAGTGACACGTATATTCTAAGAAAGGTTATTAGCAAACGTGACACCTAAATATTTAAGAGAGAGAGAGAGAGAGAGAGAGGATGAGGGCGTGTAAGATGTCAGAAAATGTCACCTCGTGTTTTCTTTTCTCCCTCTGTGTCTGAAGCGTGTCAAGCTGTCCACGGTAAAACTCGAAAAAGTAAAGGGTGATATGTCGCTCGCGCGCATTACGTGTCGCTCTCTCGTTACAATATCGATTTTCCCGCCGTTATCTCGCATCTCGCACGATATTTTCCAAAGCCCGCTATTTGAAAAGCTCCCCCGTCACTTGGCACACCGCGAACCGCCGCCCCTGTTCGACAACACGTGTCTGTGGCATCGAATGACAATTCGCCTTGGCATCTTTGTGCACTCAACTCGGGCTCCTCTCCCTTTTACCGCGGAGACTGAGAACACGAAAGATCGAGCGAAGAGAAAAGAACGCGGAAAAATAAAAAATAAATTACGTCACTATCACAACCGCGTCGTTAACGCGTCGACGGGGGACGCATAAAACGTGACGCGCGCGGAACGACCGTTATTACCTTTCATAAACGAACCGGCTACCTTGTAACGCGTGACGTCTCTTAATTTGTATATAAACGACTCGCACGTGTAAACGTCGAGTCCGCATACGTAAATATCACGTATCGCCGCCGGTTAAAGGTGACAGGTGATCCAGATAAATTTCATCTGGAATAATGGAGAGAAAACAATTAAGCGTCGTCAATAAATTATCGTGTTTCTCAAACGGACACGAGCACGCTCGAGATCAATGCGAACGCTAACTCCGTCTGTGTTCTTCGAATCTTCTTGCGAAGAAGATAACCGGAAAACATCAATCAACAGCTATAATTTCCCATTCAACAATATAAATGCAATATAACGCGTATTTTTGTATATAATGTGTAACAGTTACATTGTTGAGTACATTGAAAAAAAAATTGCTATGTTCAAGTAAATATTTACTAACTATTTACTGATTTATTTTATTTGGATTAAGTAAATATCATTTAAATGTAGCACACTGGAAGAAAAAAGTGCTAAAAAAATAAATAAAATAAATTACTACAGTACTCCTTAGTAAATATTTACTCGAACATAGCAACTTTTTTTTTTCAATGTAGGAAAATTATAATATCGATGTTGTGTTATTATTAATTGATATTTGCTAGGTATCGTCGTCGCGAAAATTTGCTTACGATATATCCCGAGACCCATATTATCGTTCCCGGATATTTATTTTTGTAATATCAATATCAATGTTTTTTTTTAATGTTCCTTTCAGTGCCAGAAAACACCAGTAAGAATATCTTGTGTTCATCCGGAAGAAGCTGGCTCTATCGGCGAATCAAGAGCTCCTTCAGGAGGAAGCTGCTGTTCAAGAGGATACCGATTCTGGCGTGGTTGCCGCATTATCAGAAGGAGTACGTGGTGAGCGATCTCGTGGCCGGTATCACCGTGGGACTCACCGTCATACCGCAGGCCATAGCGTATGCTAACGTCGCGGGAATACCGTTACAAGTAAGCCCGTCAAAAGGTCCGTTCTCCTTCCGTGGTCTATATGTTATCAACCTTGACTGTAAACACTATTCACCGATCATGAATAAACATTTTCGAAACCGGTGCCTGGCACGAGAATTAGCCGGCTCTTTTTCTACGTCTTGGTCGCGTCTCCGTCTCTCCTTCCTAAGGAGAACGCGTCACGATACGTAATTTCGAGGTCAAGGTGTATAATGACCCGATGGATATTCATTCGAGGCTCTGTCGCTCGGTGTACACGAGAAACATTGAACTGACGATGTAACATAGAATAATGGGGGACTCTGTCCACATGCTAAAATGTTCACATATTTTGTGCGAAGTTTGAAAACGTATGCGAAAATTGGGAGGTGAGAAATTTTTCCTAAAAGAAAATTCCGATGTGATTTACAATTCCGCGCGTAATTTTGGAAAATTGATAGGTAGCCGCGTATAATTGTGGAAAATTCATAGAATTCTTCAAGTTCTGCGAGATTTAAAAAACTTGAACGGGTTTTTGTATCTATATTCTCAAAATTCTACGAGATTTAAAAGATTTTACAGATTTTTATATTTATGAAATTTGCAGAATTTTTTAAATTTGCATCTGCGCGATAATATATTACATTGTGGGATATATTACATAGACAATATACTAGAGAGAGACATTAGATATTAGGAGAAAAAAATATATCGTTTTGATTTGTAGTATGGGCTCTACTCGTCTTTCATGGCGTGTTTCGTGTACACGATTTTCGGCTCCTGCAAGGATGTACCCGTAGGTCCGACCGCAATCGCCGCGATCATGACGAGGGAGACTCTACAGAGAGCGAATTTAGGACCCGATTTCGCAGTTTTGTTGACCTTCATCTCAGGCTGTGTTTCTTTGCTGATGGGCATCTTGCAATTAGGTAACATCGCCTATTAATGCTATTCCCCAGATAGCACAAAATATTCTATGAATATTCTTATGAAATACGAATGTCCTTAATTCCAGATTATTCAAATCGGATATTCTATGAATATACGTAGAACATTGTAGACAGAGAAAGAGATATTCTTAATAAAAAAAGAACGTTCTTCGAACACTCGTAGTTTATTTACTGCGCATGTGCAATGCATTGATGTAGATAAGAAGAAGGTAGATAATTCTGTATATAAGTACGCACTATAACTAATTAAAAACTGAGATCTGCGCGTACACGTGTGAGACTGCTTTCGCATGTCTTTTAATTCCAGGATCTTCCCACATAGATCTGCCTGCAACATTCGATAAAATATTCTATGCATATTCGTGGGATATTTATAGTAATGTCATTCGAATATACTATCCAATAAACACTAATTAACAGTAACATTACACTAATTACAATATAATTTCTCACTTAACAATGTAAGTATAATATAACATGCGTTGTATATAACAGTTATATTATTGAGTAAGAAATTATAACATCAATGCAATGTTACTGTTAGTTGGTGTTTATCGAGTGAGAACATACTATGAATATATGTAACAGTGTTTTCAGCATATTCTATGAAACAAATATTCGTAACGAATATATTCATAGAACATTTATATATATATATATA